CCCCGGCTGTGCTGTATTTTACAGATCCTCTTTTTGAATGATATGCTAACTCCACGAACTAAACAGCTTGGTTTTGGGCTTCATGGTCAAAGGGGAAACATGACCATCAGCACTGCTGTCCAGTACTTAGCTGACCATTCTGGGCAGAAGTGCTACAGTGCAAGGCCAAGGCCAGCTCTGAGAGGGAGCCTTCTTGGGGTTATGTGATGGACAAAACCCTCCATGATTGTTTTAGACCACATTCATAGATGATTTACTAAGGTGAGGGTCTGACATGAGAACTCTGGAAAGGACTGCCAGGTAGAGTAAGTTTTATTTCCTTTCTTTTTTAAAAAAACAAAAACCAAAAAACCCCACCAAAAACCCAACAAGTTTTACTTCAAAGACTAACTTCACTGACAGGGTGGGAGAAAGGTGGGCCATCTCCTCTCATGCAATTCCTGGCCTCTGGAAGGTCAGCTGTGAGTCAGTTTTGACTTGATGGTACAGTAACTCCAGTGACAGGGGTTGACTGCAGGACTGTGTTGAAACCCCACAGCTGTGTGTGCTGGAAGCCTGTGTGATTGATGCATGAAGTCTTGTCAGTGGGCTCACGAGGGGAAAGTGTGTCTTGTAGTCACCATGTCCAAGCACATCTGAAACAGATATGTTTCAAAGGGAGGAGGCTTTGAGTGGGGGGTAAGACCCTATGTGGGAGACCACGGGATGAGAAAGGGAATTCTGGGTCTGCGGTCTGCTCCTCAGCATAAAAGATGGTTCCTCTCTACCTTTCCAAACCTCCCTGAACTAGCGCACAGCCAGAACCCTGAGTGGGCCTGCGGCAGGGTGCTGCAAATGGGACTTACCATCTTACCCCCTGTCGCCCGCATGTGATGCTGCTCTGCCAGCCAGTGCTTGTCCTGGGGGTCAGCTGCGTACTGTGAGTGATTAAGTCACGGGGGGATAGATGTTAGTGTGGCATAAGGAGGGGCTTTTGCCTACTTGGTGCCAAAACAAGCTCTTGGTGCTTGAACACTTCTTCCAACAAGCTCTTACACTAGTTCAGTGCCTGTCGAGGGCTGCCCAGTCTCCTCAGAGCAGGCTAGTTCCAGGAGGCCAGGGAGACCCAGTCCCCAGAGAATCAGGACACCTCTCATTCTCATGCCTTTTGTTTTCCAAAACACAGCATCTCTGGCAGCTAGTGATTCAGTTATTTCGAGCCTCTTCTTTTGAAAAATGATCCAACGTCTTTTATAATATCTATAGTTACTATGTTGACTATTTCTAAATACAAAATCAGGATACTTCATGTACTAGCAGCGGGAGAAGGGAACTGTGGTTCAGAACCTGGCTGTGGTATCAGACAAACAAGGTATGAATCTCTTTTGTGTACTGTTGTTGTTATGTGCCATCAAGTCACCTGCAACTCATAGCAACTCTACCCTATGTACAACAGCCCTAAACCCTGCTCTATCCTGTGCCAATCTGTCTCTGACACACCTGGCCCTTTGTTTCTCTGGCTCTCAGTTTCCTCATGCATAAAATGGAAACTATTAATATTTACAGAGTTGTTAAGAATAATTGAGACAACATGTAAAAAGTGCTAAACATAATAACTGACACAAAGTACTCACTAAAGGGAGATTTTATAAAATAGGAATACTTGAAACAAATTAGAACACTGGGGCTGTATGCTCAGCCTTTGGGTTTATGTAACTATTTCATCTGCCTGTAATGCAGTATTGCTGACATCTTTGAAGGTGTGCACTGCCCACTTCCCCAGCAGGAACAACAGCCCTCCAGCAGCATTTACACTGAAGCGCACTCAGGACGCTGGTCCAGGTCTGGTGCAGCAATGTTTGCACCAGCAAGGGACTAGGGGGAAATGCATTCTTCAGTCACGGGAAAGGGAGGGCCACCTTGTGTTCTGTTCTCTGTAAGCTTTGATGTGTTTTTTAATCTTTTACAAAAGGGATATTCTTGGCAGTGAAGTCTCTTGTTTTGAAAACAGAACCAGTGACTTCATTCCATCTCCAGTTTAGAGACCTGGTGGTGCAATGATTAAGTGCTCGGCAGTGACCTGTTTACACGGCAGCTGGAACTCACCAGATCCTGCATGCCCCTAAGGTGACACAGTCTTCTTCTCTAATGACTAATACCTGCCTTGGAAACCCTACGGGGCGGTCCCACTGACTCTTCACTCACTAGCTGAGTAACCTTGGCAAGCCTTCCTCAATCTTCATTTTTTTAAATTGTAAAAATAACAATACCAAACTTGAAGACAGTTCTGGGGCAATGTCAGTGTAGCTGCAAGGCAAGGAGCTCTGAGGTGCTGAGCAAATGACAAAGGTTAACAGCAGAGGAGCAGCTACAGCTCCGATCTCCTGCTT